CATGAGCTGTATGCCATAATCATCAGTATTAAAACAATTAAAGACCTAAAATATTTCAGTTGGTGTGCAATGAATCTGAAATATATGAAAGTTTCATTTTTATCATTACATTATGGAAAATACTGACCTTTATCACAATATGCTAATTTTTTGAGAAGGACCTGTATATATTAAAAAAAAGTCTTTCTTGACCTCATTAAACATAAATACTTTTTTTATTTTTAAAAATAAAGTAGTATTTCTTGACTTCAGTATCATAAATAAATACTTGTTTTATATAAAACGGGCAGCTGTGGCTGAGTGGTTAGAGCAGTCGTCCTCCAATGCAAGAGTTGGGGGTTCGAATCCACCAGCAGTCACATGTTGAAGTGTCCCTGGGCAAGACACTGAACCCCTCATAGCCTCTGATGTGTGTCCCATCAGTGTCTGACTGTGATCTAAAGCTCTGATTAGTCTCATTAGAATGATTTGTTCAATTAGCTCTGTAGAGATCTAGTATAGAGCTGTATGAATGGGTCAATGAGGCACAGATTGTTGTAAAGAGCTTTGAGTGTCTTGAAATAAGATAGAAAGGTGATATATAAGTACAGTCCATTTACCATTTACTATAAAACAGTGCATCTCTTGTAACCTGATGCTGCTTAATTATCCAGGTAGAAAAATCTAAAAAAAGTTATGTCTGGTCCTCTGGACATTCAAAAAACAAAACAAAAAAAAAATGTAAAAACATTTCTTCTTTCATCCTGAGGACTTCCTCAGTCTGAGGTGCTGTATTCAGCTCAGTCTCTTAAATAGCACCTTCTCAGAGTGGATCAACCAGTTTTGCTGCTGACAACCAAAACCAGCTGATCACATGCTCAAGAAGGACCATCAGCCTAACAATGGATCATTAGCACCTGATGACTGTTTACTGTTCACAGAGGGCTGAGTGATACTAGCAATCACAGCATTGTAAGAGGGGGACAGTTGAACACGGAGCTGCTCCAGGCCGCCGGAGCCGGATTGGACCAGTCACGACTTCAGCCTCTCCTGT